TGGATGTCATGCATCCCTGCGCCCAGTAATGTCTTTGGCAATCCCTTGCAGTCAAGAATGATTGTCTTTGATGATTGTCTTATCTGGGGGTCTAAAAATGGAAGACAAGATCTAGGGTGGGTGACTCTGGATTCTTGATTTGATCCATGATACACAGTTTTTGCTGCTCCCATTTTTCCATCTCCTGTTGTCATTGTAAGGTTTCAAAGTACTGAGATACTTGCAGCAAACCCTTCCTCCATTTGGGGAGGTCCTGGGTGATAGTCTCCCATGAGTTGATGTCGATATTGCATTTTTTCAGGTTGGCCTTGAGGACATCCTTGAAACAGTTTCTCTGCCCTCCTCTTGAACATATGCCTTGACTGTCCTGGGAGAATAAAACTTGCTTCAGGAGTCTGGAGTTGGACATCCAGATGATATGGCTGGCCAGCAAAGTTGATGTTGGATGATCACTGCCTTGATGCTTGTGGTGTTTGTCTGTGAGAGGACACTAATGTTGGTACATCTATCTTCCCACTGGATTTGAAGGATCTTCCACAGGCAGCGCTCATGGTTTCTTGTGCATTGTCCATGTCTCAGCTCCATACAGTAAGGTTGGGATCACAACTGCTTGATAAACCATAAGCTTGGTTTCAGATCTGAAGTCGTGATCTTTGAACGCTTGTTTCCTCAAGCATCTGAAGGCTGCACTTGCATATTTGAGGTGATGTTAGCCTTCTGCAAGAGATGGCTTCTGAGGTACAGGAAATATTCAGTGTTTTCCAGAGTTTCACCATGAATCTGAATTATTAGAGCTGGGGACTGCTCAGTAAGAGCTTACTGATGGAGGACCTTAGTCTCCTGAATGTTAAGAGTCAGTCCTACTTTCTCGTATGCCTTGGTAAACACGTAGACAATTGCCTGAAGGTCTGTTTCCAAGTGAGCACAAACTACAGCATCATCAGTGTACTGGAGTTTGACTGAGGTTGTGGTAGTCCTGGTTTTGGCTCGGAGTCAGCTGAGAGTAAACAGTTTACCATTCATTCGGTAGTTTATCTCCACTCTAACTGGAAGTTTGTTAGTGGTCAGATGTAGCATTGCAATAAGGAATATCAAAAAGAGTGCCGGAGCAATGATGCAGCCCTGCTTAACTCCTATCTTTACCTTAAAGGGATCTGTGATAGATCCATTATTGAGAACCACTGTTCACATACCGTTGTGGAGCAGGCAAAAAATGGTGATGAATTTCAGTGGGCATCCGTACTTCAGAAGGATCCTCTACAGCACTTCTTGGCTGAGGGCAGTGAAGACTTCTGTGAGATCAAAAAAGGCCACGTAGAGAGGTTTATGTTGTTCTCAGCATTTTTCCTGCAGCTGGCAAGCTGTGAAGATCACGTCAGTTGTACCTCTTGATGACCTAGACCAGGGGTGTGCCAAATGGCTGATCCAGCCAGCAGTCAGACTCCATTTCCCAGCAGCCCTTGCCCACATGGCTGGGGCCAGCCTCCATGGAGACCCCAGCCCAGCTATGTTCTGAAAGCTCAAGGCTGGGGTTGCCATGGAGACCAGCCCCAGCCGTACTGGCAGGGTGCATGGCAAAGCAGGGCAGGGGGCTGCTCTGGAGCTGCTGGGATCTTGCAGCTTGCTCCAGAGCAATCCATAGCCTGCATGCTCCAGGCAGGGGACTGTAGCTCTGCCTCTACTCCAGACCAGGCTGTCAGCACTGCAAGGAGGAGGGGCAGAGTCGCAATCCCCTGCCTGCGCACCTCTGCCCAGAGCATATAGGCTATAGATCACGGCTCTGCCCTGGCTCTGGAGCAAGCTGCCCCCATCACAAGATCCCAGCTGCTCTGGAGCAGCCCCCTGCCCTGCTCTGCCTTGCCAGTGTGGCTGGGGCTGGTCTCCATGGAAACCCCAGCCTTGAGCTTTCACAGCACAGGTCCAGCTGGGGTCTCCATGGAGACCAGCCCCAGCCATGCTCAGGGGCAGCTGGGAAATGGAGTCCACTGCCAACCAGATCCAGCCCATGGGTCTGACTTTGCCCATCCCTGCCCTACACCCATGCTGAGATTCCAGGAGGAGCTCTTCAGCAAGTGCAAGAAGACAGTTTAGAAGGGTTCTCGCAATGATCTTTCCTGTAGTGGACAGCAAGGTGATCCCTCTGCAATTTCAATGGTTGGACTTGTCTTCTTTCTTGAAGATTGTCACAATCATGGCATCCCTGAGGTTATCTGGAATTTCCTCATCATTCCAAGACCTTAAGATGAGGGCATGGAGTTGTGGTGTGAGCTCTTCTCCCCTGTGCTCAAAAATTTCATGAGGGATTCCATTAGATCCAGATGCCTTTTTGTTCTTCATCTGCTTGATGGCTTTCCTCACCTCTTCAAGGGTTGGAGGGATTTGGAGATAGTCTCTAACTGAGTATTGTGGGATGGAGGTTTGTCAACATCGGGTTTTGATTGAGAAGGTCTTCAAAATGCTCCTTCCAGAAGGCACTAACAGCCCCCCTTTCCTTTATCAGGTCTACTGTATCCTTAGAACTCAAGGGTGTTGGTCCCTAAGTGCTTGGACCATACATGGCTTTGGTGGTATCGAAAAAAACTCACATATCGTGGATGTCAGAGAGATGTTGAATCTCCTTAGCCTTGTCTCCCCACCATCTGTTCTTCATATTATGGGTCCTCCTTTGGACCTCTGTCTTGGCTTGTTTGTGATTCAGTTTCTTTTGCTTGGAGTTGATGTTGTTCTGCCAAGCAAAAAATGCCTTGCATTTGTGGCCAATCAACTCTTGGTTGAGCAACCCAGTGTTTCTCATCAAACCAGTCTTGATGTTTCCTTGTAGAGAATCCAAGTATCTCTTCATAGGCGCTGATGATGGTGGACTTCAAGGCACTCCAAACACTGCCAACTTTCTCCAATTGTTGTTGACTGGAATTCACCAGTTTTTAGTTGAGGCACTGGTGGAAGAGGTCTCGCTTTATTGGGTCCCCAAGTCCTTCGACATTCAGGTAAGCCAGGCAGCCCTGCACCCAGTAGTATATTAGGGGAAGGCAGAGAGCAAAAAACAGATAGGGCTGGAAAGGACCTTAAGTTTATCCAAGTCCAACTCTGCTTAAGTCAGGATCACCCCTGATTGAACTATCTTAGACAAACACTTGTCTCAGATGTACTTAACAACTCAGTGATGGAGACTCCACAACATCTGTAGGGACTCTGTCTCAGTACTTAAACATCCTCAGAGTTAGAAAGTTCATAATAGCCAACCTACAGCTCAATTAAGAATCTGAAGAATTGCAAAGAGTAAGAATTTGTAACTGGAAGAAAGAGCAAACCTCTCCTTCAGTTATCTGATTTGCTGAGGAAGGCTGTTTCTGTAAAAAAATGGAGTTGGTGGTCACAACTGTTTTTACTAACCTGAGCTCCTTCAGGGGGTGGGAGGCGATGCCCTGGCACAGGTGGGACAGGTGAACCACATTCTTGACAGAAGTGAGCAAAAGGATCAGATGGCCGAGGAGCTAAGCAATGTGCACACCTAAAAATAACAAACTGGCTTAACGTGTTTTCAATTTGTGCTGCTGCATACTCTGGACCAGTCTGAAACCAACCACCCACTGGAAAAGGGAGGTCAAAGGCCTAGATCATGTAACCCTAACATGCAGGGATGAGGACTTACTCATGAATCAGTAGTAATGCCAACTCTCACAAAAGTTGTGAGACTTCTGATTTCCAAATCAAATTAACCCTAACTCACAATCTCAGGATTTTCCTTCCGGCACATGTAGAGCGTACCTAGCTGGTAAGTCTGTGGAGGAGAAGGGGTTGGGGGGAAAGGGAAGGGTTGAGAGGAGGCAGATTGAGGCCCCCACAGTGGCGGAGTGGGGCAGAGGTGAATGGGGCCCTGGGGCTGGGTCGGGTTGTGTGGCAGGCAGCTCATCCACAGCATGGTGGGGGGGGGGAAGAGTGTGGCTCCCTGCTGTAGCGCACACCCCTGGGGAGGGCATGTAGCCCCCAGATATATGTGCGGGGCAGAGGCAGGCTGCCCACGCTGTGGGCTAGGGCTCTGTGCCCTGCTGCGTTGCCCTGGGAGCTGCGCAGTGCCAGGTGTGCCTGCCACCTGCTGTGTGGACAGGGGACACACTGTGTAGCCAGAGGGCGGCTCCCAGGGGCAGGGGCGGGGCAGAAGCTGGGGTGAATGGGGCTCTGGGGCTCTCTGTGCTCTGCAGGTGGCTCATCCAGAGGTGTGGGGAGCCAGCTGCCTGCAACTGCATGCACCCCCAGGGTAGGCTCAGGGGGCATGTGCTGAGGAGAGCTGCACCCCCCTCCCCTGCACCTCTGGATGACCTGCCCTGGCCCCAGGACCCCATTCAGCCCAGCCCTTGCTCCTGCCCCACTCCCTCCCTCACTGTGGGGGCCTCGATCTGCCCCCCTCGCCCCTTCCCTCTCTTCCCACCCCTTCCCCTTCACTTACCAGCTGGATGCTGTCTGTGTGTCTGTTCCTCACTCCCAAACCACAGCCCCTGCAGCCCTGCTGCTGCCTTTCATTCCTTACCCACAGTACCCTGCATCCTGCCAAGTTGTGCAGGGACCCCTCTCCCTGGGTTTCAACCCCCCACTCCACACACACCCACAGTCCCCCACACCTTCACAAATAATCCCCCCCACACACACTTCAAAAAATAGCATGTCATAATTTACATGCCAACCTCTTGATTTTTTAAGAGTTCATCATCTCATGATTTTTGGCTCGGTGGGGTTGGCAATACTGATCAGTGATTAAGGGCTCACCAAATGCAAGGGCTGCACATTGTTAATTGGCAAACAAATTTTCTCCTGATCTCAGGGGTGCAAGGAGTTTTTATTGGAGTTGATAAGATTGCTTCTGCTTGATAGTAGGCTGTAAACATGCAAGTCAGTAAAATAAAGCAGTATTTAAAAAACAAATCCATGACAACAATCTCTTTTTGTGAATCAATGTCCACATTTTGGTTAATTTAACAGTATTATCATTGCAATGGATAAAGCAATTGTTTGTTACTGCCTAACCCAAAATAAGTAAAAAAAGAAACCCCTTACTTGAGGAAGTCTGTTTCCCTCTGGATTCTCATTGTCTGGGTGCTTGTTAAACTCTTCCTGCTAGTCACTGCAGAACTAGTGAGCTGAAATAAAAGTGGTTCTTTAGGGCAGTGAACTGTGCAATACAAAATATCAATTTGGTTATAAACAGTTCATCATGGTTGTCCAATGTTACCTATTGGGTAAAACACTTGTGTACTCTTGGTTGTGTGGCCCAGAGCCCTGGGTCATGGCTTGGGGAGCCCAAGGTTATGAGTTTAGAGCTGTGTTCGGTGCAGCTGGGAGGAGGGGGGTTGTAGGTAAATGTATCTTTTAACTGCTTTAGCAGGGGTAGAGGAGCTGCCGCTCAGGAACGTGCATCAGTTCTAAGGTAACTGCTACATCTACATGCTCCTGCAGCAATTCAACTTAACTATATCACTTTAACTTTAGTTAATGAACTGTTAAAACTGCAGTGGTTTTGCTACACTTGAGAAGTGACAGGGCCACAACAGCTACATCTGTATCATTTCATATAAATTCAACTGTTACATTTGCCTATGCCCTAAAAGTAAATTTCTCTCCACAATAACTGGAGCTGCTGGAGACCAGCCCAGCACAATTCAAAACAGTCCAAAGTCTGTTCTTAATTGTTTCACTTTGTAATGGTTACTGCTGGCTGTTATGCCACCAGTGATTGCAGCCAATCTTGCTACCCATGCTATTTTCTCCTGGAGGGACCAGGAAGGTGATAGCAGAAAGCTGTCAACAAGAGCTTCATGATACCCAGAGATTCCCCCTGTACTGTATGCGAACACTCCAGCTGCTCAGGTTTCTGTGATTTTCACAGTGCCACAGGTACATTTGGTAGAGGAACTAACATTACCACTCAGAAGTAGTTAACTTCAAGTCAGGTGCTCATTCCAATGTCCCTTGCCTCCCTCTTGTGGATAGCAGCATGTTAAACCCATACTATTATTATAGTTTTCTTCCTTCTGCACTGTAAATGTATGCAAATATCGTGTTAAAAAGTTGCATGTCTTTGGCATCCCATTATGGTAGAGCATCTACCATTCCAGTCCAAAGCTGATACAAATGCCATGATGAACATCACTGGAACGCAGAGGCTTTAGGCCAGGCCTGCCTGTTAACAGCGTAGAATCTCATCTGCTGACCCACAAGAGGACCCAGATCTGCTTCCTATAAAGTAAAGGACGGTGCTGCTCTTTACTTCAATGAGAGCAGGATTGAATCCTAAAGTGTTAGAAACTTCCATCTGCATGTAACAAACAATAAGAACTACCACTTCAGGAATGTGTTGGAAAGCAAAGCAGTGAGTCCATGCACTAATAATTTCTTCTGCCTGACCAGTCTTTAATAGTGGCTGTATTCTACAAAAGCATTTTCAGGGCATGGCTATACCACCCAGCATGGCACTAGGGAACTGCCTGAGAGACAGAGCTTATTGGCACATGCCCAGTCCTGATTTAAGCCAGTTACTTGACTTCTGGTTCAAGAGGGAGTGTGTGCAGCAGGAGGGCAACACATCCCAGTTAAGTGCTCTCTATGATATACCCTAAGAATTATATTGCAGGCCTGCAACTACTAGCCTCTTTATACAAGTACAGCATAGTACAGGAAGAGAGGTGAATTAGATGAAAGAAGAAAGGAGGATGTCTACAAAAGTTTCCAATGTTCTCCATTTTGTAGGGCTCAGTTCTGATTCATGACTGGGCAAGGTAGGAAGCACATGTTTAATATGCTGCAGTGACAGAGGCCAGCAGGATGTTCTTGAGCACATTCTGTCCTGACATGCTTGTCTGTATGCTCCTAACCTGGAAATTTGCTGGTGTTTGTGCTCTGGAGTTGTCCCTACCAGGCACTCTCAGACATGTAGAAATCAGTCTCAAAAGAACGTATAGAGGGACACCCTAAAACATCCTCACCACTGTACTTGTGCGTTTGAAACATGCATGGGAGAGTGAATGAGAGCAGGTCCTTGGGACTGGCCCAGTTGGTACAGAATACCATTATGGTGTAGATATATTCTAAAGGGGTCTAAAGACTCCATATGTAGCCTAGGAGGGTTTTCTTATCATAAATCCAGACCTGGGGTGAGAAGAAGGGCTGCATGTCTAATATTATTCTCTGTAAGAAAGTGTTTGGGATGGAAAGGTAGTAAAACAGCCCCCAGCCTCCACACTCTATCCACCAGCTGATAGCCACGGCACTTCTGGCAAATGGGCCAACTCAGTATATTCTCCCTGCCTCCAATTAGTTGCAAAATGAGCTGGGAGGAACCATGATTCATGAAGCCTGTCTCCATGGGAAATTTACAAACAGGACTATACAGGTGTAATTATATTGATATAATTATACCAGGACAATGCACTCATACTGAGGAGTAAAAGTTCCTTCTTGTTATAGGTAATTTTGCTTTGAAAGTAGTTTAAGATAAACCATAAAAATGTCACTCTTATACCAGAAAGCTGTCACTGAGCCACAGTTTCTTTCTGGAGCTCTGTCTTTATATTTAGGGTGACCATATAGGACAGTGGAAAATCTGGTACACTGCCCTGCCTCCCACCCCCAAGTCAGTGGTGTTGCTGCAGGCAGAAGGTGCCTGCCTGCCTGCCCACCTGCCAGGTGCACCATGCCACTCAACCTCCCTGATGGACTACGCCCCACGCCCCTGCAATTCAGGGACTTTTGTTTTAATTTTCACCAACTGAGACCAGCCTATGAAATCTGGGACTGTCCCGGCCAAACCGGGACATATGGTCACCCTACTTATACTGTCTGGAGAGTAGACTCCCAGTACAGCCCATAGCATATTTGCTTCACTTACCTGAGACTGCTGTGTTGGTGGTGCTGAAACTGACTCCTCTCTATAATTTGCTGTTTCCAACCGACTGTTCAAGAATCTGGGCCCTTTTGGAGACTTGCGGACAGTTCTTCTCTCTACCTCCACATCTAAAATTACACCCACATTTCATCCAATTCCTCCTTTATCATGCACTTCAGAAAAATATGCTGTTTGGCTAATACTAAGTTGAATGTTTTCAGCGCTCTGAGTTCCAGTGTCTGAGGATAATTCTAGACATTTTGGAAACAGTTATTTGCTGGGCATTTTTCCAGAAAATTAATTAACCACATTTTCCTAACCCCACAAAATGTGTGGGTTTACAGAGGAAAGGGGAAGAGAAGGAATAAATTGTATTTTGTACTGTTTGCATCTTTCTCAATGTAATATTTTCTTTCCCTCTAAAACTTGTTCCCAGAAGTACTTTAGTGAGCAAACACTAAAAAGATCCTGTGCTCTGCAGCATGCTCAACTAATAAATCCATTTATTTACAACATTAATAACATCTGAATTAAGTTTTCATTAATGTCCTGTGGTTTAATACTGCACTCCTTACTCAGGCTATGTCAACGGCAGAGATGTTTCTAAGTCACCGGAGCATTTCATTAATTGAAATGGAAGTTTTGATTCAAAAGGAAAGGAGGAATGGGCCTCAGGGGAAACTTGGCCCTTCAAGAAGCATAAGACTGAGTCCCTACAGAAATGTTATAAATCTCAATGTAATCTTCACGGAAGTTAATTTCATTTTCTATTTAAAATGCTGGGAGATTCAATATGGAACTCTCAGAGAATGCTCAGCCCTGTGAGAAGTCTGTGAGATTACCTACATTTCCTCCAAAGAAAATGTTCCTACCAGCTTTGTTTGACAGGGGCTAAAGTTAGCTCTGGCTTTAATGTAGCCATAGTATACCTTGAAACTCCTGGGCTGTACCATTCCAGCTGGACTTGCTGCTTTCTACATTCAGGCCATTCTTTTTTGATTTTGTGATAGGCAGTCCATCTTCTAGCTCCTGCAAATATAGTGAATATCTGCCTGACCTCTCACATGCATATTCCTTATAACAGTAAATTCTCACTCTTGGCCATGATCCAGCCATCTCTTGCTAGTTATCATCATCCCCAGCACCAATATAATTCCCCTCCAGGCCATCCATAATCAGGTTCTAAAACAATCATCCCGCTCCCCCATCCCTTCCTTTTTCAAGTCCTTGTCTTCCTTCTCAGCCTCATCTTCCAGGCCCTGCACATTTCTTCAGTTGATTTTTCAGGCCCTGCCAGGGTGAAAACAGCAGCTCCCCTATCCTTTTTATTTCCATCTCTGCCATGAATGTCTAGAAAACCTTTCACCCTCCCATCCAGGGGCAGAACCAAAGTGAGTGCAGTGGCATGGCTGCACTCCTGTTTTGGACTGGACTGTGCTGCTGGAACTTCTGGGACTTAAAAAGTCCCCAAAGCAGGTAAGGATCCCCAATTCCTTCCCCTCCATGCTGAGGCAGGTCTCCCTCATTCCCTATCCTTTGCCTGACACAGTTGTTTTCCCCAGTGTCCAGGAGAATTTTGAGAGCTGCTTCTGCCCGCTCCGGCTGAACATGGTGATAGTGTAAAAGTGCAATAAGGTTTCCTGTGCATGCTCTTCTCCATTGTCTTCCAAAGAGCAGTAGTATACAGCCAAGCTCTGAGCAAGAATATGATTTGGCCCTTTCTGGACTTCACATCTTCTAAAGGTTTATTTTTCTAACTAAATTAGAACCACTGCAGAGGAAACGTTCATGTGATACGTCAACATGTTATTTCCAAAACAAAGCCTCTGGTACAGACATTTCAATTAAATAAAATAGCCTCTAAACAGAAAGAATGGCAAATGTTAGAATTTACTATATACGACCAGTATAAAGTCAGCAGCTCTTAAACAAACAAGTGATCAGGATGGGTGCATAGTATTATAGTGCTTAGGGTTGGAAGAGACCTAAACAGATCATCAGGTCTGACCCCGTCCCCTGGGGTGGAGGCAGGTTGAAGTTAAATCTAAGTAATTTAAAATACTGGTTTGAATCATTATTTAAATTAACAAGGAAACTGATTTAAATACTTTATTTTAATCATCTTTTGCATTTGTACCTTTAATTTACTTTCTCATAGAAATACTGATTCTTATTGGTTGGTAGATCAGATGACCCCAGCAAGATAATCATCCAAACGCTTCTTGAATGTGTCCAGAGTAGGTGCTTGTGTCACTTTTGGGGGAAGTCTATTCCAGACTCTGGAGACTCGGATAGTAAAGTTTTTCCTTATGTCCAGTCTAAAATGGTCTTCCAGCAGTTTGTGATTGTTGGACCTTGTCTTTTCTTGGGGTGCCCTGGTGAACAGACGTTCTCCCAGATCCTGATGCACACCCCTGATAAACTTATAGGCTGCCACCAAATCCCCCCTGAGCTTACGCTTTTTCAAGTTGAAGAGTCCCATGCCTCAGCGCCTCCTCATAAGGCCTGCTCTTTTGACTTGATCATGCGTGTGGCTCTCCTCTGGACTCTCTCAAGCTTCTCTATATCCTTCCTAAAGTGTGGAGCCCAGAACTGGATGCAGTACCCCAGCTGTGGCCTCGCCAAGGCTGAATAAAGCCGGAGGATGACATCTTGGGTCTTGCTTGAGGTGCATCAGTAGATGCAAGTCAGGGTTTTATTTGCTTTGCCGGCTGCAGCATTGCATTGGTAGCTCATATTCATCTGGTGATCAATCATAGTTTCATAGTTTCATAGTTTCTAGGGTCGGAAGGCACCTGAGCAGATCATCTAGTCCGACCCCCTGCCTTGGCAGGAAGAGCACTGGGGTCAAATGACCCCAGTAAGGTGGTCATCCAACCTCCTCTTAAAAACCCCCAGGGTGGGAGCCTGCACCACCTCACATGGAAGCTGGTTCCAGACCCTAGCCGCCCTGACCGTGAAGTAGCGCCTCCTGATGTCCAACTTAAACCTTCCCTCCGCCAGCTTGTGACCATTGTTCCTGGTCACTCCTTGCAGCGCTCGGGGGAACAGGGACTCCCCCAGCGCCTGCTGATCCCCCCTAACCAGTTTATAACAGGCCACAAGATCCCCCCTCAGCCTTCTCTTTTGAAGGCTGAACAGGTTCAGGTCCCGCAACCTTTCCTCATAGGACCTACCCTGCTGTCCCTTGATCATACGAGTGGCCCTCCTCTGGACCCTCTCCATGCTGTCCACATCCCTCTTAAAGTGCGGCGCCCAGAACTGGACGCAGTACTCCAGCTGCGGCCTGACCAGTGCCGCATAGAGGGGGAGGATCACCTCCTTGGACCTGCTCGAGATGCATCTGTGGATGCACGACAAGGTGCAGTTGGCCTTCCTAGCCGCCTCCCCACATTGCCGACTCATGTTCATCTTGGAGTCAATAATGACTCCCAGATCCTTTTCCACCTCCGTGCTGACAAGAGGGGAGTTCCCCAGCCTGTATGTATGGTGCCGATTGTTCCTCCCCAGGTGCATCACCTTACACTTGTCTGTGTTAAACCCCATCCTGTTCTCCTCCGCCCATCCTTGTAACCTATCTAGGTCCAACTGTAGCCTGTTGCTCCCCTCTATTGTGCCCACATCCCCCCACATCTTAGTGTCATCAGCAAACTTGAACAGGGTGCTTTGCACCCCCTCATCCAAATCACTGATGAAGATGTTGAACAGGGCGGGCCCAAGGACCGAGCCCTGTGGGACCCCACTTCCCACGTCCTTCCAGGTCGAGAAGGACCCATCCACTACCACCCTCTGGGTGCGACTCTCTAACCAGTTGGCGACCCATTGGACTGTATGGGTGTCTACGCCACAGTCCCCCAGCTTCCTAATGAGAATGGGGTGAGAGACAGTATCAAAAGCCTTCCTGAAGTCTAGGAAAACTATATCCACTGCCACCCCTGCATCCAATGATTTAGTGACCTGGTCGTAAAAGGCCACCAGGTTGGTCTGACAGGACCTGCCACTGATGAACCCATGCTGGTTGCCCCAAGCATGCCATTCCCTGCTGGCCCCTCCTGGATGCATGCCAGAATAATTTTCTCGAACAGCTTCATGACCCCCAAGTCTCTTTCGGTCATAGTGCCAGTGAGTTTAGCACTGCCGAGCCTGCAGGTCCAGGTTGTTAATGAATATGTTAGAGTACTGGCCCAAGTACCAAACCCTGAGGGATGCTACTGGTCACCATGCACCATGTTGACTCGGTTCCATCGACTGTCACTCTCAAGGTCCAACCATGAAGCTAGTTCCCCAGCCATCAGACCGTAAGGTTGTTGAAGTCACAATTCCCCAGTTTTGTCATGAGGACATCATGGGAGACCAAGTTAAAGGCTTTTTTGAAATCCAAATAAATGACATTAGCCTCTCCTCCCCTGTCCAGGTGATGTGTCACCTGGTCATAGAAGGAGATGAGGTTGGTCAGGCATAACTTACCTGTAACAAAGCCGTGTTGGCTGTCTCTCAGGATGATGCCTTCTGTTAGCCTATTGTTGATGGATTCTTTAATCATTTTTGCCATGATCTTTCTAGGGATTTAGGTCAAACTGACTACAGTTTCCTGGATCTTCCTTCCTTCCTTTCTTGAAGATAGGCACCATATTGGCCCTCTTCCAGTCTTCAGAAACCTCTCCCAAGCATCACAAGTTCTCAGATATACTAACCATTGGTCACGCTATGATGTCAGCCAATTCTTTTAGCACTCTTGGGTGCATTTCATCAAGGCCCACTGGCTTATGGATGTCTAGCCTCTCAAGGTATTCCCTCACAAGGTCTTCACCACCTGTAGGCATGTAGTCACCCATGCCCTCATAATCCTGTGTTCTGTCAGGCAGGATGATCCCCTTGGGCTGGTGAAAAACCAACACAAAGTAATCATTAAGATTAGCTTCTTCCTGGGTGTCAGATGTCAACTGCCCCATATGGTACAGCAAGGGCCCAATGTTGCCCTTATTTCTCTTTTGACTTCTCATGTATCTGAAGAAGGACTTTTTATTGTCTTTGATTCCCACAGCCGGTTTGAGCTCAGTTTTAGCTTTGGCTTTTTTGGTCCACTCCCTACAGGTGTGGGCCAGTGATGCATAGTCCTCCTTAGAGGTATTTCCCATCTTCCAACCCTTATAGGCTTCTCTTAAGATTCAGGAGGTCCATGAGTTCCCTATTGAGCCAAGGGGGTCTCCCAGCCCTTTTACAACCTTTCCTGTGGACCGGAATGGAGTAATAGATTTCATAGACATTAGGGCTGGAAGGGACCAAGGGGCAGGAAGTCAGCTATTGTCAAAGGATCCCAGCAAGATAAATGTCCAAATGTTTCTTGAAAGTGTCCAGGGTAGATCCTTGCATCAATTCTGGTGGAAGTCTGTTCCAGGCCTTGGGGGCTTGGACAGTAAAGAAGTTTTTCCTTATGTCCACCCTAAAACAGTTTTGCAGGAGTTTGTGACCGTTGGACCTTGTCATCCCCTGGGGTGCTCTGGTGAACAGGTGTTCTATGAATCTGAATCCTGATGCACACCGCTTATGTACTTCTGGTTGCCAACAAGTCACCCCTGAGCCTGCGCTTCTCCAGGCTGAAGAATCCCACAGACGTTCTCCCTAGACTGAAGAGTTGTGCTTTTAAGATCATGTCCTTAAGGGTCAACCACTCATCTTGGACTCCCTTTCCTGGCAGATCATGATCTTTCAGGGTCTCAACAACCAACCATCTAAGCTTATGAAAGTCAGCTTTCCTAAAGTTGAGGATTTCAGCATTGCTGACTGATTTGCCAGCTTTGCAATGGATAGAGAAAGTGATCAACTCATGATCACTGTCACCAAGCTTCCCTTCAATCCTCAGGTCTCTGACTAGATCACACGCTTTGGCCAGAACCAGATCTAGCAGCGCCGCACCCCTTGTCAACCCATGGACTTCTTGAGTCAGGTACAGCTCATCAATACAGGTGAGGAAGTTGCGTGATCAGTCAGATTTAGCTGAATGTGCTTCCCATGAGATATCAGGGTGG